TAGATGTCATCCAACGTTCGCTTTATTCTGCACCAGCCTTTGGAGCCTGGTGGGGGCTTGGAGCCCAGCAGCCAGTAGGGAGTGGTGGTGTGGGCCTCACCCAGCCACCAGGCGGCAGCACTGAGCATCCCCAGGAGGAAGCTGGAGTGTGACTACCTGTCATCCAGGACCAGCCCAGCAGGTGCACCTGCCCCCAGACCGGCCTGGGCTCTCCTAAGTGGCGCCTTCCTTGCTGCTCCTGGGCCTGATGGCGACCCGTCAGCTCTCGAGAGAGTTGTGCCGCCTGCCGAGGGCTGAGCCAGGGAGTGGCTGACGGGCCTCCTGGGATGGGGGGTGACAGGCCAGAGCCAGACACAGGGTCCAGCCCCTGAGAGAGGAGGCGGAAGGTCCTGCTGGCCTTTCACTACCCCAGGGCCCTGGCATGCCGCCCGGTTTTCAGGGCTGTGGGATCCCTGCAGAGCCGAGGGTTTCAGGGTTTCTGGGGAAGAGCCCCCCTGCTGGGCTCAGAGCCCTGGTGCAAAGGGTGGAGGGGCGGGTTCTGTGTGAGCAGCGACTCCAGGCCTTGATTCCAGGCCCTGGCCTCTCAGAGGTGCTGTGCCCTGCTCCCAGGGGCACACAACTAATAAAAGACTGTGAATCCACATGCAGAGCCACTGCTAGGCGCCCACCGCCACTCCCCACACCCGAGGGCGACAGAGAGGCTCGCAGAGAGGACTCACTGGGGAGGTCAAGGAGTGGGAGCCGGGCAACGTGGAGCCCCCCGGTTCCCCCTGGTTCCCGCGAGGGGGGCGTGTGTTCTTACAGCTATTGGCTTGGGCTGGCAAGCCCTGAACGTGAGAGCAAGATCCTGAAACATCTGAGGTCAAGAAACCCCCTGACTCCCGAGTCCCCTCCCGTGGACCTTGCGCGGGGGGTCCCATGGGGAGACCCCTAATGGCGGTGCATTCACCACATCGCAGTGACACGGCGCCTCCCCCCAGACGATCATCACTGTCAGAGTCCCCGATGGCACACATGCACTTTATTGGACTGTTTCTTGCCCAGCATGCAGCTCTTTGCAGGGCACAGCAACCTTGGCACCGTCCAGGGCCCTTGTGCCCAGTAAGCCTGTCCCGGGGCTGCCAGGCCCACTCCTGGGCACGGGGCTGCCGCCTCGGTGGAGGGAGGTGAGGCTGGGGCCAGGGAGCAGAGCTGTCCGTCCGTCATCACAACGGAGAGGGGGTCTGGAGACTCATGGTGCCGGGTATGGGCCTGGCGGCCCTGACCCCTCAGGCCCACAGCACCTGGCAGAGAACACGTGCCATGAGCCTGGTCTTGGCAAACTGGGCTGAGGGGTGAGGAGGGCAGGGAAAGCAGGCCCTCTCTCCTTCCTGGTGTCTGGGCTCTACCCCTTCCCCCGTGTCCAGCACCTAAGGACCACGTCACAGAGAAGGTGGGCATGCCCTGTGGGCCCCACTTTTCTGATGAGAAACAGGTCCAAGAGGGCACCCCAGCCCCAGGTCACTCAGAGCCAGGACTGGACCGTCCACCAAATCACTGCTCCCCAGACCCCACCAGCATTGCCCTGCCTGCCAGCTGCCCCGTCTCTGGACTGTGGGTGACTGCAGACCTGTGCCCACGCTGACTGCCCCTCCCCTTCTCACCTGCCCCGCCCCTGCCCAGAGGAGCAGGTCCAGCATTTACCTGTGTCTCCATCACAGCCTCCTCGGTGCTCCTCAGTGTGTGGCTAAGGCTGGAAGAGAATCCCACAGGTTAGAGCTGGGGGGTCCTCGGGGGCCCAGGTGGGGGGTGGAGAAACCAGAGCAGCTCATGGCCACCTCTCAGGCGGACACCCCTCCTCCTCTGCCCACATAGGCCGCCCTCCCGAGTGTGGACAGTCCTGGCAGCCACCCCGCGATCGCACAGCCCTGTCCTGTGGGTTTTCAGGGCTCGGCCTCCGCTGGTCTCGCAGGAGAGGTGCATCCCCTATTCTCCCCCCTGGCAGGTCCCTCAGGAGAGACCCTCCTCCAACCCTCACCTTTGACCTCCAGCCGGCAGTCCACAGATGCCTCCCCCAGCATGTTGACGGCCTTGCAGGTGTAGACCCCGGAATCAAAAGGGCTGGGTTTCCGGATCTCCAGGGTGTAGACGCCTTGCTCAGAGAAGGTGCGGTATTTGGGGTCCCCCTGGATGTTCATGTTGTTCTTCATCCAGATGATCTTGGGCTGGGGAGCACGGCCACAGGGAGGCTGGGCAGGCTGTGGGCTGGCACGGGCTCTCCCAGGCCAGACTCCTCAGCCCCACCGCCCCCGAGGCACAGCCGGGCCTGCGCTCACCTTGGGTGACGCTCGCACGCTGCAGGAGAGCTGGGTGCTGTAGCCGGAGGTGGTGGTGTGGTCAGCCAGGGGCTGGGTGAAGGAAGGGGCTTCTGAGAAGTCTCTCTCAACAAACCCTTTAAGTTTGGCAACAATATCTGGGTTCATGGGAGAAAATGGGTAAATTTGAGATGATAGGAGGAAATCTCTTAGGATGGACCTCAGCCCCTTTCCCCAAACGATCGCTGCAGCGTCCATCTAGCCATCTTCTGACGACTGTGGCCCTGACGGCCTGGAGGCAGGTCTTAGCGTCCAGGGGACGATGACAATCCATGCCATCCCGCCCTCCTCTGAGCGCCGTGGCGGGCCCCAGGCTCCTGGCCCATGTGTGGGGACGTAGGACAGAGTGTGTCCCAGGGGCAGAGCAAGGGGAGCTGAGAGGGGGGGCAGCAGAGCCAGAGAGAGGAGAGGATCTTGGCTGATGGAGGAGACCAGCAGTCCGGAGATATTACATTTTATTTCTGTTTGTCTTTGGAGAAATAACTGGCTTTCCTTTTTTAAACAAAAATTTCTTCCTAATTCTGTGCAACTCAGGCTGCTGTTAACAAGTGTGTGGCTCCGCGTGGGGGAGGACCTTGGAGCACGCAGGGTGACGGAGAAAGGGCCTGGGATGTAACCTTCAACGTGAGGGGTCTTGCCCCGTGTGGAGCGAGTGAATGCTGAGTCTCTCCCGTCCATCCACGTGGAGTTATATTCGGGTTGGAGGTCTGTGCTATCAGCAAACTTGCCAGAGTCCACTGGCCCCACTGCCCTCATGCTGGTTCTTTGGGGACAGTGCACCTGAGGCCTAAAGACCACTCTGATGTCGGCAGCCACAGGGCATCTGTGGAATAAATACACAGTCTCCCTCTCCCAAGGGACCCTTCTTATTTGCATGAGACACTCGGATGTACTTGTTCAATCATCCACCACATCCATCCCTTTGCAGTTGCGTGTGTGTACACGGCTGTGCACGGCTGTGTGAGTGCATGACTGTGCATGTGCATGGCTGTGTGTGCATGGCTGTGTGTGTGTGCATGGCTGTGTGTTCATGGCTGTGTGTGTGCATGACTGTGTGTGTGCATGGCTGTGTGTGTGCATGGCTGTGTGTATGCGCATGGCTGTGTGTGTGCATGGCTGTGTGTATGCGCATGGCTGTGTGTGTGCATGGCTGTGTGTGTGTGCATGGCTGTGTGTGTGTGCATGGCTGTGTGTTCATGGCTGTGTGTGTGCATGGCTGTGTGTGTGCATGACTGTGTGTGTGTGCATGGCTGTGTGTGTGCATGACTGTGTGTGTGTGCATGGCTGTGTGTGTGCATAGTTGTGTGTGGAGTGGCATCCATGAGGAGTCCTCAGAGAGGGCAGCTGACACACCAGGAAAAGGTAGAGGTGGAGATGGAGATGGGGAGAGAGTCAGCCTTGCTGGGCCTGGCTTACCTCCTGTCCAGGCCCAGACCTACCTATCTTCCGGATGTGGGCCAGCTCCTTGGTGATGGCGGGCGAGTCACTGAGTCCACATAGGTTTTCCGAAAAGACCCGGAAGGAGTACGAGTTGCCCACGATGAGGTCGGAGATGGTGCAGGTGGTCGGATGGTAGCGCTCCAGCACGGTGAACCATTGCTGTGGGGACCCGGCCCTGTCATCACAGCCCACCCACCTCACCCTCCTGCTCACCCGGCTGCTACTCCCCGGGGAGGCTGCAGCATCTACCTTGGGCCTGAGGGACTTTCAATTTGGGAGGAGGGGCCTCTGGGTCATTCGGGTGACCTCTCGGGGTCATTCTGGTGACCTCTCTGGGGTCCTCAGAGAGCATCCTCCCCCCTCCCATGCCCCCTGCAGTCTTCATGGGGGAAATGAGGCCCAGAGATGAAAGGAATCGTGCCTAAAGCCGCAGAGGAGTCAGGCCAGTGGTAGGCAGACCTGAGCTCAGTCCCCGACTCTCAGTGGCCTGGGCCTTCCCCCGACCTCGCCCCACTCACACTTCCCCACCCAGGTTGGCCCGGGAGCCTCACCTCTGTCTTCTTGTCCGCCTTCTGCACCGTGTAGCCCAGAAGCTCAGTGTTGCCGGTGTCCTGGGGCGGCGTCCACTCGAGGGCCACATTGCAGCCCCAGACGTCCACCACCCGGATGCTGCTGGGTGGGTTGGGCTTCTCTGCAGGACCAGTGTCAGGAGGGGTGAGGGGGCGGCCTGGGCTGGCAGGATAACCCCCACCCTATCACACTCCCCTGGCCTGAGCCCATGAACATCAGCTGTGGTGTAGGAGGGCGGGTGTCTGGCCCCTGGCAAGGCATGCTGCCTCCCCTGCTCCATACCAATGACCAGGATGTTGATGGCTGCCCGGGCCTCCAGGTTTTCCAGCCGCACAGTGAGCTCGTAGCAGCCTGAGTCTGAGCGCTGGGCCGAGCGGATGAAGAGGATGGAGTCCTGGTCCCCGGTGCGTACGCTCACTCTCTTGCTGTCCAAAGCTTGGCCGTTGTGGGTCCACGAGACTTGAGGCTTGGGATTCCCCTGGGAGGGAGGAGCCCTCAGGGTGTGCAGGGAGGTGCCAGCACCTACAGCCACCCCACGCTGGGGTCTCTGGAGCTGTGTGCAGGGAGCTTCCCCACCAGTCCTCCCAGGAGGGGCAGCAGAGGCTGGAGCCCCAGCTGCTGCCCAGACTGTCCCCCATGGATGTCCAGCCAGCCTTGGGCAAGCTGCCCCGTCCCCAGGTTGGAGAACGTGCTGAAGGGGGAGCCTCTGGGAGGGGTCCCAGGCAGACCCCCCCACAGAGATCCTGCCATTTCCTGGGCTCTTCTGACTGCCCCAAAGGGCTCCCCGACTTCCACCCAAGCTGCTACCCTGATTCCCACACACACCTGGAAGGGAATCTGCAGGTTGACCATCTCTCCCACCTGGCGGATGTAGGTCTGACGCAGGTGGCGGGGCACACGGATCTTGGGTGCCTCTGCATCAAAGGGAGAGTCAGTTCAGCACAGCGCTGGGCTTGCTGGTTGGTGAGGCCTGAGGCCTGGGCAGGAGGGCTCTTGTGCGTGTTGTGGGGCCATCTTGTGGGATGAATGAAACTTGCTTCTGAAATCGAGGGGCCCCAATCCCCCTAAAGCCCCTGGGGAACTAAGCCAGAAAGTCCCAGCAGGGCAGGCCTCCATGGTGTGGATGGAGAAGCATCTGGACTCCCTAGGTTCCTGGACCCTGCTGGCTGGGATTCTCCTGCAGCCCCAGATTCCTGGGTCCAGATGTTGGGGACCTGCATTCCCAGAAAGGGGCACAGCCTAGGCCCGAACCCAGCCCCTCCACCCACAAGAGCCTAGGACCTTCCAAGAGACCCAGGTGCTCCTGCTCTGTCTCCTGGTCACGTGGGAGGGTTAGGAGGTGTCCTTCCTAGAAGACGCCAGAGCAGACAATTCCCTTCTTTTCTGCCCCACCCCCCGCTCCCCCAGCTC